GACTTTTTACAGGATGTTTCTATTTGTAGTCAGTTGATTCGTAATAAAACTTACGCGCCACTAATTTACCTGTTAGACGACATCGTTTTCAACCTGTCGGCATTGTAATTTTTTTTTTTTTTGCTGATGAATGTGATTATAAAATTCCATTATACTGACGTAAAAAGATGAATGGTAGAATTCTCTTTCCGTGTCGATATTTTGTAACTTGAATAGAAAAAGGCTGGAAGCACTCTATCTCCTTAGAGTTGCACAAAGAGAACAACTTGCTACTTTTTCTTTCGTTTCTTTTAACTTCTTACAGCATACAATTGTTTGTTTGTTTTGCATATAGGTTTTTTTTTGTATTCTAACTCGCTGGTTGCTTAGTGACGGACGTCGCTAAGCAACACTTCGTGCCTGACCTAAAAGTGTTTTCTTGGTGAATAAGAAAAAAAGCTCCAAGTCTAAAATTATTATTAATTAATAAAAACTGATGAAAAAGATAATTGAATTTTTTGTTCTTGCCCTTTTTTTGTTTCATGAGGAGAAGTGAAAAATTGATCCGATGGGTTAGGATGCAAGTGGGGTTAATAGCGAAAGGGTTGGAGAAATTGAAGCGAAAGAAATGGGAAGAATGAGCGATGAAAATGAAAGAAGAGATAAATTAAGAGGGAATCAGAAACACAGAGAAAGAAAGGATCGTCAAACAATGAAAAATGGAAGAAAATATTGAAATGAAAAGCTGATGAGAAGAAGAAAATACGGAGAAAAATCATAAAATAAAATAAAAAATCATAATTATTTACACTATTTATATTCGAATTATTGTCCGCATCGTTGTTGTTTTTATCACAATGATTCAGCCGTTGCGTCTTCCTGGCGTGTATATTTGGGTAACCTACAGGGAATTCCGAACTAAACCCTTTATTCAATCCATGGGGTAGACTGTTTTCATTCCACTACCCAGGTTTAGGGATGTCATAAAAAAAACCCCCAAAAATAAACAAAAAACAATTAAATAGCGGAGCCACACGAATCCGTTAATACCAATCTACCAAGGTGGCTAGCTAATCCTCATTGCATACGCCCGCTTAGTCAAACACCCACAGAGCCCAACTGTGGTTTATACTGCAACTATACTGAGCAGAACCTAGTTACAGTTTCTGGGAGAGAGCGAGTTATCTATCATTATGAACAGTCTGAATAAGGCCAGCACGTTCAAACCCTCGGTCCCGATGACTTGTAACTCCGTGATAGCAGCCAAGTGTTCCGTCTACCCAATTTCACTCACGGGGCTTGGGTCAACCCGTGGTATGATTTTCATGGTCACAAAGCGAACGTTCTAACCACTTGGTTATCATTGATATCTTGAGGTATCATGGAGTTCTAATTTAGTAATGTTCACTCATTACCAGTGAGTGCAATTGCCCACTGCTCGAGCAAGGGATTGAACTCACAGCGTCTATGTCACAAATTTCATAATACAACGCTATTATTCAGTAGTCTCGTTGTTGGATTAAACTTAGAACCTTAAACCTAACCTTGACTGCTGATTAGACTGCAACTGCTGCTAAGTGTCTTATTTTTGGTTGCTGCTGCTACTCGTGTTTTGATAGTTGCACTGCTGCTGCGGTTGAAGACTTGCTTAGATGAATTCAATCGACCGACTATAAATAGTGTAAATAGTAATGAAACGTCATTAAAAAAGAAGATGGTTTAAGACATTATAACATTCCTTATATCAATCGAAATATAGAAAACAATGCTTAAAAGGGTTACTGGAGGTATAAAGTTTAATCAATGTTATAAAACACGATATATTAAAAAAGAATGAGGAAAAGCCGAGGAAATATAACAATACCAACAGAGCCAGAGTAAATGACAATATACAAAAAGAAAGAAAAAAGGGTAAAAAATTCCAACCCGCTGACCAGTTTTCGTTCCGCTCTCATAAGAGTTAGATTGAGTAATGAAAACTCTATGCACAACGACTACGAGAGAAAGAAAAAAAAACGCTAGAAGATGGCAAATGGCAGCAAGTGCAAATTCTTGTCTCACACAAGATATTACTGGCTGTTCTGACGTGTAAACGAGTGGTTGATCAAGGTGCGCTTAGGATGTGCACACGTGGGGCACTCAGATGACAGATATAAAGGTTGGTGCAAAAGTAAGTAGACAGTCTTGTTTGAGATCGGACGACTTGAGGAATACATACAGAATTTTAGATCTCCGGTTGGGAGCCAAAAATTGTGCGGAAGATGAGAAGATAATAATAATAATAATAATAATAATAATAATAATAATAATAATAACAACAACAACAAAACTACGATTATCCGTTCTGTGGTAGGGACATTACTAATAAATCATGTAAGTTAATTTCCTAGACACATTAGCATCTCAGAACTACAAAATGTTACTTTCTGCGGAACTGCATACACCATCCGCAAAACCCTCTCCATCTAAACTCAACGTCTCAAATATACATAGATAACTCTCCTATAGGGCTTTCTTTTAGTCATAAATACCGGAAAGGCACTTGGTAATAAGGGACTTAAAATTAATCTCTGACAAGTTGATATCACAAATAATAATAATAATAATAATAATAATAATGTTAACCCCAAAAGCAGATTCTGTGATAAATATCCAGAAACAATTGATCATCTTGTATCAGGTTGCACGGTATTATCACGCAATAAATATAAAGCTTGGCACGACAGAGTGGGCCAATATCTGCACTGGAAAGATAGAAACTGCAAAAAAAAACTGGTATGAACCTCACTCAGACCCGGTTACAGCGATAACACCTGTAACAATTTTATGGAACTTTACAATATTCACAGACAGAACAATCAAACTAATCGCCCAGACATCAAAGATCAAAGACCACAAAAGCAGAAAGTGCTTTCTTATTGACACGACAGTCTCTGCAGATTGTAACATATATTTGAAAATCTTCAAAAAAACTCTCAAAGCACAAGGATCTTGAAGTAGAAATCCCGAATAAGAATATAAAAAATTCCAGTTGTAGTTGGAGCACTCGGATTCATTGGAAAATGGTCCTATAGACATATGGGAGGCATTTCTGATAGCCCATGCGAAATACAGAAATTATACTCACAAGTACAGGTCACATAATATAAAGAGCATAATCTATGTAATATGTGCGTGATCTTAGTTTTATTTGTCAATATGATCAATGGAAAATAACATGAAGCCATTTCTGAGCTTATGTCTCTGGTTGGGACCCGGAAGTAAATGATTATACGACAGAAATCAAAGGAAATAAAATAAGCTTTGGTGATCTAGGGTTTTGGAGGTGCACTCATATATACTTGTATCATCAGCATAGATATTCACAAACGATCGGAGGCAGATCATTTATGTAAAGTAGGCAGATCTTAGGCAGATCATTTATGTAAAGTAGAAAGAGGGTTGGACCGAGAAATGTACCTTGGCGGACCCCTGCTTGGAACAGTGACAGTTAATAGCTACTTGCAGGAAACGGTCGGTTAGGGAGGAATTTAGAATGAGTAACTTAGAATACGACCCATATATCGTTGTATCATAAATATAGATATTCACAAATGATTGGAGTTTACTCTTAGGCAGATCATTGATGAAAATAGAAAGACCGAGAAGCGTGACCTATAGGACGTCTGTTTGGGTCAATTGCATTTCAGAGAACTGGACATAAACAGCTACCTTCTGGGAATTACACCTTAGGAAGGATTTGATAATTCAGAAAACTCTTCCAGTGATTCCCTGGCTAGAGAGCTTGTGTGGCTACACTCTATGCCACATCATCTCAAAGGCATTTGGAATATCTAATGCAATATATTTGTTATCTTGACCCTCACTATTTCTGAGTTACGACAGGATATCAGCAGTAGACCGAGTTCATCGAAATTCGTACTGCTTGTCGCTTGTCGATTCTGGTCCATCTGAGGTGATCAACAATCTTTATGTTGACTATGGCTTCAAAGAAATTAGAGAACTGTATGATAAAGAAAATAAAAAAAGAACACACCACGCACACACACAGACATACGTGTGTGTGTAATAGGAAAATATGATAAATATTTAAAAGAAAAATTAAAATTAAAAATTATTAAATATCAATTAAATTATTAATAAATTATTAGTTATTAATTAATTATTATTCAATTATAAAAGTTAAGTATAATTAATAAAATTAAGCGTAATTGATAAAATTAAAATTTAGCGTAATTATAAAAATATTAATTATTAATAAAATTATTAATAAATATTAATATCAATTAAATAATTAATTAATTAAATAATCAAATATTAATAAAGTAATTAAATCATTAATAAATTATTAATTATCAATTAATTATTATGCCATTATAAAATTAACTCTAATTAATAATATTAATAAAATTAAGCGTAAGTATAAAATTATAAGATTATATAAAAATGAAATTATAACATTATTAAAATTATATAAAATTATTAAAAATATTAAATATTACATAATTAAATAATTAATTAAAATTAATTAATTATTAAGTTAAAAAGAAAATTAAAAAGAAAATTAAAGGAGAAAACTAAATTATGATATAGAAAAAGAAATATGAACAATTATGAAAAAGAAAGAGAGAAAAGAAAGTAAAGTCGAGATAAAAAGACAAAAAGAAATAAAGTCGATAAATAAAGAGAATATAAAATGAGAGAAAAAGTAAAGTGTGATAAATTGAGAAAAGAATGTAATTCGATGATAATTTGAAGGAATAAGAAAATGCAGAAAAAGAAAGAGAGAGAGAGAGAGAGAGAGAGAGAGAGAGAAAATAGAAAAAAAAAGAGAAATTGAAGAAACCAGGGCAAATATGAAATAATTTTAAACATTAAAGGAAAAAAAAAGTTAGAAAATGCAGACAAATAATGAGTGAGCGATTATGGAATAAATCAATTAAATCGTAAAAGAAATGGCTGAGTGTGTAGAGTGATTCTCTCAAAAGAAGAAGAAAAAAGCATTATGAACTATGGACGCTATGACCTTACGCATCATCGAATATTTTCTGTTAACAATACGGACTAGTATTTACCATTGCCGGAGTACGCTTACATTCACATATTCAATAGTTTCATGCGAACAAACAAACGCACACAGACATACATGTATAAAAACGCACACAAACAAAGGCAGACATACGTACATACATACATACATACATCTAAATAAAACACACCTCCTTTCGGCTTTTTCTCTGATAGTTCTCCGATATAAATTCTCCCAGTTGCTGGGGATGACTGCAATAATAAAACAAATTAAAGAATCGTTAGCATAATCTAGAAAAATCAGGATATTGATTTTCACAGAAAGAAGAATTTAAAGTGTAAGAGATCTGGCGCAACACAATCGTTTACAGTCATTCTCATTCCTCGTCCCAGATTAGATTGAACTTCATAAATATTTATAATTACAAAGCATTAAAAGAAATATACAGATATTACTAACCAAAGAATAACCATAGCTTATCTATCTATCTATCTATCTATCTATCTATCTATCTATCTATCTATCTCATTTATGTTCAAATTCTCCCTGGAACACAGAAACTATTCGGAACCTCAGAATTGTTCGTCACTTATCGAACATCGGGCGGAGATTAAAGTGAATGTTGAAGTGGAAAGACTACTGAATCCATTGCTAGGTCAGCTGTTAAGAAAATTGCTTCATTGTGTTGTGCGAGAAAACCTTTCCTTCCAGAATCTATCTTACATATCTATAAGTCTACTATTCGTCCAAGCTTAGAATATTTCTGTTACATATGGTTCTGTAACTCTGCTATTTACCTTGAGATCCTTGATGAAAACCTAAAGAGGAATCAGCAATATTATTGATCCTATTCTGGCGCCCCCGCTTGAGCCACTTTCCGACTGTCGTAAGATTGCCTCTCTGTGCCTTATCTATAAAGATTTTCATGGTAATTGTTTAATGAGCTTTTCAGTATTGTTTAAGTGCAGTACTAGACAGGCGTTGACTTCTCATCAATTTACAGTGGAGCTGACGAGATGTAATTGTAAGTTCTATGCAAACAGTTTCTTTTCTTGCACTTCTCGCTCGTGGAAATCTTTTCCGGCTTCATGCTTTCCAGCCAACTTTAATCTGCAAACATTTAAATGCAATGTCAATTACTATCTATTGTCCTACTGATTACTCTTTCTTCTTCCCAGTCGCTATTACTATTTATGTTCCTAATTCTTTCACACCCTGTAACTCCTTGTGACTTAATGGCTTTATTGCTTTGCATGGAAGGGATAACGATTAAAAAAAGAAAGAAAAAAGACAAAAAAAAAAAAAGAAGATTTATTCGATGCAAAGCAGTAATGTAACTGCTCATGTCTTCCTATGTTTTTAAGATACCTGGCTCCGAAAAAAATGTCTGAAAGAAAGAATAAAATGGAAGAAACAGAGTAAGAACATGACTAGGAATGATCATAAATAAAAGCAAAATGGATGTTTTTAATATGGCTGAGGTTTGAGGGGGGGTGTTTGAAGAGAAGAAAGGAGGGGAGAATCGAATAGGAAGAAAGAAATTTAGTTGTATTTCCGAGAAAAATACAGCTTTAATATAATGTAGGTCGCCAATATCAGTAGTAGTGGTCTTTGATGAGCAATGTAGTGAGGGTTGTGTATATCGATTAACCTAAATATGATTCGCTTTCAACAAGAATGAAGGAAAGTGAAAAGAATATCTATCTATCTATCTATCTATCTATCTATCTATCTATCTATCTATCTATCTATCGCAGTCTATTCATATCTATCTATCTATCTATCTATCTATCTATCTATCTATCTATCTATCTATCGATCTATCTATCTATCTATCTATCTATCTATCTATCGCAGTCTATTCATATCTATCTATCTATCTATCTATCGCAGTCTATTCAGATCTATCTATCGCAGTCTATCCAAATCTATCTATCTATCGCAGTCTATTCAGATCTATCTATCGCAGTCTATTCAGATCTATCTATCTATCTATCTATCTATCTATCTATCTATCTATCTATCTATCTGTTTTTTATCATTTCACAGCAAGAAAACCCATAATGCCACTAAGGCGCAAGGTGATTACTGAGTGTGAATGAATAAGAAATAAAAAAAATAATATTACGGAGTGAGTACAAGGGAAAAAGTGTAATCAAGAAGACAGGAGAAAACGATTGACCTTTCACTTAAATTTTAGAAAATCAAAGTTGGTTGGAAATCATGGATCCAGAAGAAAGATCCATTAGCAGGAAGTCTCAGAGAAGAAATTCTTAGACTAGATTTTACGTTTACATCTTAACCGACTCAACTGTAACACAAAGAAACCTGTTGCCAATCTTGTACTGGGAAGAGATCATTCGAACAATCACCATCAAAGTATTTATAGAAAAGTCGCAGGGAAGCTTCTTTGCAGCCGTGGGAAAGTGACTTATGTCTGGATGCAAGGTCAGGACCAATAACATTGCAGAATCTTCTTTGGCTTATATCAGAAACTTATATCAGGAGCAACAGACCATGTGTGGTAGCAATATTCAAAACTTGAACGAATGGGAGTGTTAAATATAAGATAGAGTCTGGAGAAAAAATACTGTTTAGCACGACACAGCGATACGACAGAGTTAACTAACTTTGCTATCTATCTATCTATCTATCTATCTATCTATCTATCTATCTATCTATCTAAGTCGTTTTTCTCCTCTCTCAATCGTATTATACATATCTTTCACTCTCCGTCTATCTGTTCATCTCTGTACCTATGGCGGTCACGGATACACTAAAATCAAACTCTGAAAGATGTGGCGGGAAATAAACAAGTAAAAAATAATGAACTAATTAAAAGTCATAAATTGAATTAGACAATAAACAGGCACATAAGTAAAGGCAAAAATAAACTCGAAAATTAATGAATGGCTAAAGTAATTACATTTGTGCATTATCATTTTAATTGCATTTATTGGTATGGTACTAACTTTACATTTGGCACTTCTCACATTCATAAAATTCATATCGAATTAATTTCTCAAATTAATTTGCTATTCCCGGATCCATTAATGATTCATATCAAGTCCTGTCCTGACAACGGTCTTATTTCTCCGAAAGAAAATAATTTTCAGCAAGCTTACATAAAATATATTTATTTTACGGCTATCTATTACCCTCACTATTTCCATGGTCAGTATTTGGCTACAAAGAAAGTCGCTATACGTTAGAAATAGTGAAGAATAACATGTGCCACCAACGAATATATGTTTTGTCTATATATTTTTGATTGTTCGGACCGTCGTTCTCATCTTTATTGTCATATTCACGACGTTTCGGCTGTTTTACTCTGCGACCTTCTTCAGGATCAGTCTATATTTCTAAGATGAAGTATTATAACTATTTACACTATTTACATTACTTACATTGTTTGGACCGTTGTCCTCATCTTTATTATCACATTCACGACGTTTCGGCCGTTGTAAGCCAAGGTCTTCGTCAGGATCAATCTATATTTCTAAGATGAAGTATTGTAACTATTGACAGTATTTACATTATTCGGACCGTTGTCCTCATTTTTATTGTCTTATTCCCGGAGTTTCGGCCGCTTATTCAGGTCATATACGTTGGAATTTCGAACTGTATTCTTTATTTAGTCCACGGGTCTACATTTTTCTATTTCTACGTGCCATGATATCTCAGTTTCAGTTAATTCCCTTTAGTAACTCAATTCTCGAAGTTTTTGTCCACCTCTGCTGTGCCACACGAATACGTGGCTCAGTGGATAAAAGTGTTGGTTAAAGTAATCCAGTGACTTGACCCAAAGAGTTGTGAGGTCAATAACTGATCACAGTAGAAGTTAACATAAAGGAAGAAGTCAAAAGACACGAGAGACAGGCTCGATAAAATCGACCTCGACTTCCACCAAAATTACTATGCAGTCAATGCCACTGGCTCTTTTAGGCAAGAATTGGTCTACTTAGCCATCAATGCCATTATCATAAAGAATGCGGTCAGAAAAGAAGAAATTAAATTCTTGGATTTAAGATAAATTCGACGACAACAAATATAAACAGTATTAATTAGACGATTTGTAACGTTATTTTTTGTAAAAATAAATTTTGTTGACCAATTTCAAAAATGAAAAACAAAATACTTCAGCCAAGGGGAATGTGACACTACCGATGTTTTTTTTTTATACATTTTATTTTACTATAGTTCACCCAACACAAGGCCTAAGTGGCACTCAAAGCAGAGGATTATAGAATTGAGGTTTTGTAAGGGCATATAGAGAAAGTTGAATGTCTGTGTGTTATGCGGACCTATAGGATAAATAATGAAGTCATCAACGCCATCATCATAAAAGCCAGCAAAGAAGAAATTAAATTCTTCTATATCAGATAAAGCCGATGACGACGAGCATGAACAGTATTAATTAGACGATTTGCAAAGGTATTTTTTGTAAAATTGAATTTTGATGGCCAATTTCAGAAACGAAAAAATTACTTGAGCCACGGGAGATGTGATACTAACGATGGTTGTTTTGTGATACATTTTATTTTACTTTAATTCACTCAACACAAGGCCTAAGCGGTACTCAAGGCAGAGGGTCATGAACTTGAGGTTTTGTAAGGGCATATAGAGAATGGTGAAGGGTTGCGTGTTATGTGAACCTATATGATATATATATATAGAGAGAGATAGATAGATAGATAGATAGATAGATAGATAGATAACGCTTGAAGACATTAAGATTCTAATGGTCAGGAAAGTATCAACGCGGGATTCATCCAACTTTTTCTTGTTGGTAATTTTACTATAAATATGTATTTTTATACTTTCATGGTGTTTTTGGTTTGGTTTGGGTGGGGGGTCATTATTTTCCCATATCAGGAAATCTAACAGAAGCTACAATCCCGGGTCAGGCTGGTCCTGGGAATAGCAGCAGTTAAGAGGTGGTTCGGCGCTCCTCAAAACTTCCAATCTTCCGATCAGAGGCTTTGCTGCCGGATGTAGTTTTTCATCATACCCAGGACAGAGAAAAGGCTGAAATATTTGGGATGACTAATGAGAAAAGAAGGCTTGAAGAATTTAACACACCGTAGGTTACCGCCCCCCCCACACCAAAAAAGAAATCAAAACAAAAAATAACAACAAAACCACACAAAGTAAACAGAAAGTAACATAATTTACAAATGTAGGCGAATTGATGAGTTAGGATAAAATTAGTCAAATGGGTTTTAAAAGAAAAAGTCTTCGAAAGAGAAAAAAATCACTGTTTCCTGTTTTTCTTCATTTTTTATTTTCCTCAAGTACACATAGCTCAGTGGATAAAAGCGTTGCTTGAATGCAGTGACTTGACCCAAAGAATTGTGAGTTCAATCCTTGGCTACAGCAGAAGTGAACAAAAACTTGGAGAGTTGAGTGAAAGGGGGGTAACGGATACTAAGACACCCGGAAGAGGCATGGCACGTGGAACTAGAGTAATCTACTCGGTGGGCGAAATAAATTGTTCAATTTGAAATTCCAATCAGCTGAGTATAACGTCGTGAATATGGCAAGAAAGACGAGGACAACAGACCGAACAATGTAAATTGTGCAAATAAAAATATTTTTTAGTTTAAATAACCTGCAAAAAGAGTTAACAAACCGTAGAAAATAAATCAACCAACCAACAATAAAGATTTCTCGGCGTTGGGAAATGTTTAACGTGATAGTTTTATTGACCATTACTACTGAGTATTTAGTATGATCCTCACTGTGTGTCTCAGTATTAATCTATCTTTTTCTACGATTTATTTAAAAAAAAAAATCTTTTATCATTTCACCCAAGCATGGTGGGAATGCCATTAGTACGCAGGGTGTTACAGAGAGTGAAGGTTTGAGAAAAGAATGGATATAGGAGGTCCAAGGGGGAGGATAAAATTTGAACGGGGTTCAAGAAAATAGATGATAGCGATTGACATTGCATTTAAATTTCTGAAGATTGTAGTTATCAGGGAAGAAGGAAACGGAAGCGAAGTGCGAGAAAAGAAACTGTTAGGGTCGAAGTAGTGATTACATTGAGGTAATTCTAGAGTAAAAGGGTGGGACCTAGATGCCAATCTAGTAGTAAACTTAAAGTCGCATAGTTCGGGCATCAGGGGAAAAAAAACTCATCAGAGCAGTTGGCATGAAAATATTTGTAGAAAAGACAGAGAGAAGCCACATCACGTGTGTGCAAAAGGGACTGAAGTCGAGATGCCAAGTCAGTTACATTGCAGATCCTTCTTTGGATTTTCTCAAGAATCTCAAGATGAATAGAAGAAGCACCAGACCAAATATAGCAGCATTAGTCAATTCACAGGAAAATGGTATATTTGTTAAAGTGCAAGATGAAATCTGACGAGAAAACCCTTCTAGCACGACTTAGTGACCCAACTTTCCTTGCAGTAGATGCAGCTATTGATTCGATGTAGTCGTTCCACTTCAAGTCACTTGTAAAAGTGAGGCCAAGAAGGCGCAGGGTCTTGCTCTCTATGTGTCTAGCATCATCCATGCTGAAGGCTAGCAGGAAAAATTCTCTCTGTCGGTTAAATGAAAACAGTTTCGTTTTGGAGGCATGAAAATATACGAGCCATTTACTGCCCCAGTCGGCTCTGACGGGCTTGTTATTGAGACATAAATAAATGGTAGTGTCATCATCATAAATGCCTACTTGGAAACCGATGACATCAGGAAGATCAGTGATGAAGATAAGTAACAGCGTAGAACTCATGATGGAGCCTTGGGGGACATTTGCATTTGTGTGAAATGATCTGGAAGGGTGCCCATTGAAAACGATCTCCATTTCACGATTTGATAGGAACGATTGCATTAAATCAAACAATCGTCCAGTAATACCACATCCCTGGAGCTTACATAACAGCAATCAGAAAACTACCAACCCGGTACCCTCAGTATGATGAGACGTTTCCACCATCCACACACATCACAAAAAATTCATGACAGCAACACTATAAAAACTTAAGGAAAGGAAATCAACCTGGAATCCCTTCCTAATCAGAATACAAGGTATGTGCCTCTACTCCTGTTCAAGAGAATGGGAGAGGTATCGACCGAGCGATACGAAAGCCTATCTAATTCTATTTAAAAAAAACAAAAACAACAGAAACAAAAAATAAAATAAAAAATAAAATAAAAACAAAAAAAACAGTTCTGGTTCTGATCCAGATAACTTATTTGGAGAGTCAGTCATTGGCCACGGAACTTTTAACCATGCGATGTTTAACTCTAGTAAATTAGAAGTTAGAGGAGGTAATAAGAAGTAGGAATTAGAATCTTAAAGGTGACGCTTCAGTTACTTCTTTTCAATATTTAACTTTGACACTTTATGGACAGAGCAGACTGATTTAATTTCAATGGTGCTTTGGTACAATTACGGCGACTTTGAAGTAATTTTTCTGATTTCAATTGCCAAGAAGCATATTAATATCTCTTACAACGGACGGGAATTGATGGTCAGAGTGGGTGTGTGTAAAAGACTGCTTTTTTTAATCAACCTATTTTTCTTTCGGCTTCTATCAAAGCAACTCGATTTCTTCCCAGATACCAAGAACAACTAGTCAACCACAAGCGAGTGGCACTTAAGCCAAAATTTCCTCACTCACTTTCACATTCAGGATGGAATTAAAATTTAATAACGAAAATAGACACTAAATAATGTACTAGCAACTTATACAGGCATGCCCACATACTCACTGCAGAATAAAGAACGAATGCCCCTTAAACGGTAATTGTTTACAAAACGACGTAATATACCAAGCCACGATAAAATCACCAGATAATGAAGAAAAAGTATACATAGGAGTAACTGAAGGACCCTGGAAACAAAGAAATTATACACACAAAACATCTTTCACAAATAGTAAATATGCGAACAGTACAATGCTTTCTAAAAATACTACGCTACTTAAATATCGAAAAACGAAAAGAGAAAATATACAGTATAAATAATAACAAGTAAAATAAATTGACCTAAATTCATCCAAATAAATAAACAAACTAATCCCGATAAACTAACCGTTAGAAGAAACAAATAAAGATAATCAATCCAAATAAATACATGAAGTAATAAACAAATTAAAAACTGTTCCCGCCAAAATAATAGTTAGAATAAACTACAACAATCAACAACAAAATTGAATAAATAGCTTTATCTTCCCAAACCAAAACAAAACTATTAAATAAGCGATATAAACAAATTTTTACTACGTTAATAAAAACACTGATTAAAAAATAAGTAATTATATAAGATAAGAAATAAAAATAAAAAAATAAAAATAAAAAATAAATAAAAAAACAAGCAGAACAATTTAACCAAAATAAATAAATAAACAAACGACTTCCGCCAAAATAGACTACCCACAATGCACCACTGACCCGTATATATATAAATACCCGAGAAAAATAACAGCACCAGTGGCCTGACGATTGCATGTAGCATGAAACAGACTGTCGCCTCTAAGTGTTGACTTCTATGTTCACTTTTATTTACACACGCTCTATCTCTGATACTGAGCACTTTATCCCATAAATATAGCACATCTTAAGACTATATTTCTTCATATACATACAAACACACACACACACACATACACACACACACACACACACACACATATATATATATATATATATATATATGAAAAATATAGTCTTAAGATGTGCTATATTTATGGGATAAAGTGCTCAATATCAGAGATAGAGAGTGTGTAAATATAAATATAAATATATCAGTGGTGCATTGTGGGTAGTCTATTATGGCGGTTATTTTACCGGAAGTCGTTTATTTATTTATTTGGGTTAAATTATTTTGCTTGTTTTTATTTATTTTTATTTTTTGTTTCTTATTTTATTTATTTATTCATTTATTTTAATCGGTGTTTTGTATATTTATATATATATATATATATATATATATATATATATATATATATATATATATATATATATATATATATTATATATTAGTTACCTTAACAATGGAAAAATAATCAAAACTATAAATAATAGTTTATTTAAAGTTTTAAATTTTTATTATTTTATAATATCTATTCTCTGTCTTTATTATTCGTTAATGATAATAAAATTAGGTAAATTTTAACCATATTTTCTTCTTTTTCTCTTTCGTCTTTTTCTTCTTCTTATTGTTATTATTATATAAGAAAAAAACAATCTAAGATCGATCACATTTTGCATAAATAAATCCATTCATAATGTGTGAGCAATACTGGTGGGTACAATCATTTGCATTTTTTAGAGGCATGGGCTACTACGAATCCCTTCAATGAGTTGATCGTTGGTCTTTTCCAATCAATCGAAAGGCTCCAACTATAATTGAAATTAATAATGACTTCATGTGGCAAATTTTTGAGACTTTCCATTTTAAGATCCTTCAATATTATTATTTCCATTTTTCATGATGTTCTGTTTTGTCCTATCCTTTAGCAAGTTTGAATAAGTTAGAATTCCAAGTCTATAAAACAATCTTTAGACCAGATGTAGTAACGGAACCTTTATCAAAGTAAAGATATTTCTCTTCAAAGTGATGCTAATAGATTGGAAAAAATCTCCTCGAATATAAAACGAAACCTGATATAAACGATTGATTTTGCGTATATTAAATTCATATTGTTTGTTTTTCTGAGAATACAAGCTTTGCTCCTGAATACAGTGTCTCGTATTGTAATGGCTTTCCTAGGAATTTCATCATCAAAATTCTCTGTTACACCTACACGTACCGTACAGGTCGAATCTCAATTCGATATATTCAATAAACTGCTATTATATCTCAGTAAACTGCCACTACTCTCATGAGATTGTGCAGAGGACATACTGACCACAGCTTACACCCTTTTGCAAATTAATTGAATAAATCCGTTATTATTTAATTTTTCAAATTTTTCCAATGAAACATGAACCAGTGCACAACCGTATTATTTCGTATGTCCATTCCAAGAAGTAGTTCCTTGGAGATTGACCACATATATTAAATTGGAATTAGATCAGGGAAGTTTCCGGGCCCGTCTATAGTACTTTGATTTGCTCACTAGCAAGGCTTTCCATTGTGTTCGTGCAGCATTACAATTTTCATACGCCTCCTTGGAGTAACGTCCATCGCAGAAAATGGTCGTAGGACAACTAAACGACAGTCGAGATAATGGTGATTGGCGTGATAAAAATCTGATATAATCACAGATGACGCAGTATTTTTCAAGGCCAAATAAATTTCATCATACATCCCGAAAAATAGATCTTGATTACTGAACACCCCTGCAAATGACCTAATCTAAGGATAAAATAGAAATCGATTATACCCTGTCATTCCAGCCCGTCTAAACTGACCGTATGATGAAAGAAAGGAAACGAAAGCGGTTGTTTCAATTCATTTACACAAGGGTATAGTTGTCTGAATGGCCGCTTGAGTTAAACATCGTTCCGGTCAGTTAAACGCTTAGTGTATCAGCGGTTGAACGTGAGGTGTTCTACAGTGTTAATAGAATACTGTATTTGTGCTACAATTTTATTATTTTATATTAAACTATGAGTTAACAAGAGAAATATGTCCACCACTCATGTTTTAGTGGTATGTAATTGTGGTAGCCTACCGGAAGTACGATAACTGGTGTGCAGCAATTGTTCGGTGTGTTTTCCTACTTCTTCACAACTCGGTGTCAAAGCTGTTTCATTTCATACTTACCATATACGTCGACTTTTGGAAATATTTGTTAGGCTTGAAAACTTGACTTGTACACCGCAATTTACTGTATTTCCATCTTTCCTCATTTGTTATGCTTACGGGCACATCACGTTAAAACATCGATTCCCGTACGATCACCTAAGTTAAGCACCATTGAGTCTGGTCATTAATATGGATGGGTGACCGCTTGGGAATACTAGATGCTGTAAGCTTGGATGTGCGAGTGGTGTAATGAATAATAGTTCAGAATTGTGAATCGGAGAGTCGAGTTCCAATTCCAGTTGGGTTCGTTATATTCACTTACGCGCAGATAGCTTTTGGAAAAGGCATGAATCCACCTCTTTTCTCCCCAGCTGTGGGTTAATGTGTATATGTACCGTTAATATGTACTTTGTTTTCGTGCATATTTAAATATCTGGGAAGTGTCCCAATCGAGGATGGAAACACCGAAATCCCCAGGCACACTAGAATATGCCTTCCAAAAGCTATGTAAAGTATGAAAAAAACAGGAAAATTTTGTTAGAAAACAAGAGAAAAGAGCACGAACATCCTAAGTAATATTAGTCCTCCTCCATGGTAATGCATGTTTGACATTCTCTCCACAGATGGAGAAGAAACTTAGGAAAACAGAAATGTGGTTCTACAGAAATATGCTGAGAATACCATGTAACTAATATGGAAATTCAAAATAAAATAAACACAAAAATGTCGCTTATACTTGGAATCAAAAAGAGATAATTGAAATTTATTAGGCATATAACGAGGAAAGAAGGCCTAGAAAATCAGACACGAACAGGGCAGTTGGAAAGATAGATGGACAGAGGAAAACAAAATTTATGCCGGAACAGGGATTGGGAAAAATAAAGAAAAGACAAAACTCGCTTAGATAGGATGTTGAGGAGAACCATATCCCGAATGGATATGGCACATAAGAGTAGTGTTATGGGAAGGAATTTCTTGTTTCTTTTTTTATTTTTCATATGTCATCTAGAATCCATTGGAATTGCAGATAACGGCTAGTATTGGTAAGGTGTTAATAGCGTCCGTTTTATTTTTTTGCATTTAATTGATGTCTTTACAAAAAACTGCTGGAAGATGCTACGTAACCTTGACATATGTGAGAAGTACACTAGAATAATCCAGTTCAGTGAATATACAAAAAAAGTATACGTCCTCTCATCAGTCCTTTTCAACCTATGCAGCAAGCTGTTTTGAGAGAATTAAAAGTTCTACCAAGATTCATTGCCACAGTCATAACAACGTCTGCAGATGATACAGTGTTGATAGTAGTCACAGAAAAAAACTACAATAACTTCTAAAGAAGGTAGTGAAGGAGAGTAAGAAAGAAAGATTAAACGTCAATTTAGTTGTTAGCAAAAGGAACAACCCAACAGGCGAATTACAAATTGGAGATACCAAGATGAAACAAGAACAACAATTTAAATGTCTAGGAAGTGTTTTAATAAAGGACAAAAAGTGTGACACTGAGGCTTGAATGCCCATTGGGATGGCAAATGATACCTTCCAAAAGCTATGCAAAGAAACAGAAACAAAATATCGTTAGAAACAAAGAAAAGATTACTGTACTGTTATGCAATATCAGTCCTCCTATATGGCAGTGAATGTTGGACAATCTTCTCGAAGATAAAGAAGAGACTTGAAGCAAGAGAAACAAAGAAAAAGGTACTATGTATATCAGTTCTCCCAATTGGTAGTGAATGCTGGACAATCTCATCATAGATGAAGAAGAGACTTGAAGCAAGAGTACTGAATTGTTAAGAGGGTCGTATGAATAGAGTAAATATTATTTTTAAGAAATCAGTTTGCATATTAGGTTCATTGACGTATTTATGTAAAGAAGGTTTTTATCGAGAGTCAAATGTATTACAGATACTAGGTTTTTTTACAAAAATAATTGCTGGTAACATATTTTTCCAAAAATGTTTTGTGGTATTGTTCATATAAAAATGTGTTTTTATACTTTCATATTATTTTGACCTGAACTTAGGGGTAAACTTTTTGCCTATAACTGGGAACAGAACAGGTGTTACCACCCCGGAGGGTCATAAAGGACAGGAAATTGTAAAGAACCATGAAAAACCTGATAGGTCAAGGCACATAGAAGTGATTGTAATAGCAATACTTAGTACTAATTTTGGCCGTTCTATATTTACTGAAAGATTACCATTTTCAAGGTGATACTAGCTCTTCCATGTGATCCAGTTACCAATGGAATCACTGTTACTTCTTTCACTTGGTTTGCATTTCTGTTTCCAGTGGTTGTATCTGTGATTTCTTTTTCTCATTGATCAGAATATTTTAAAATCGTTTTCTATTTTATTTCCTTTCTTTTAATTTCTTTCCTTGAATTATTTTTAATTGGCATTGAAGATTTCTGTTTTCTTTAACGAAATTCAAAAAATGCCTACAGCTCGTCTTGATACAATATGACCGATTTTTTCTGAAAATGGCGTTGATGTCGTTTGTTGTGTTCCAAGGTAGAGAGAAGGGGTGAGTCTGTGAAGAATCCGTTAAGGGTTAAGTGGGTTTTCGCTCAGACAGCAAATCGAATGAAACATTGAAAATAGAATAACGACTATCAACAGAGAAAGAAGCCAAAAAGTAAAAAGAAAAAAAAAGGTTTAAAATTAAAGAAAACAGAAGGGACGAAGAAAAGTCGACCTTGGATTATCAAGATAGCGATGGAGGGAGGAAAGGTGTTCTTGAAAGCGGAGAAACTCAGGCTTTGTTCATGACGTTTTGTGATCGGCGAGACGGGAAACGGAAGGAGAAATTTCAAAAAGCTAAAATCAAACCATGTAAAAAAAATCCTGTTTTTTCTGAATTATTCTCTATCTTTTCCTTTCTTTTATCTTTACTTTTTTCTTTCCTTTTCTTTCTTACATCATTCATATATATATATATATATATATATATATATATATATATATATATATATATATTATATTATTAGTTCAAACATCATTATAGAAGACACTCGTATACGTTCCATTCTATTTTAAACAGTGTATATTGTTTTGTAATAAAAATTAGGCGTCTATTTCAAATACAGTATCCATTATAATTTCGTTTAAGCTAATTAAATGTCGGACTAAAAATAAATCCATTAATTCTTTATAAATATATACTTATATATATATATATATATATATATATATATATATATATATATATTGATTCAGTGACATTAGTAACAAAGAAAATTTCTCCTTTATACAATTAGACATAAACGATTTTTATCCATCTATTAATGAACATACATTAAACAATGCATTAAACTTAGCAAAATAATACATCAGTACATTAATATCCCAACGGGGATATTAATTTAATTAAACACTGCCGAAAATCCATATTATACCACAATAAATGTATGGACAAAAACGAGCAATAATAATAATAATAATAATAACTTTGGCATAACAATGGGTCGCTATGATGTCACAGACGTATGTGAACTCAGAGGCATATGCATATAATAAATAAATTAACAAATATTATTATCAAAAAGATATCGGTCTATACAATGACGACGGTGTATTAATACTACGAAACTGCAATGGCAAAACTACAGAAAAAATAAAACAAGAAATAATAAAGCCTTCAAAACCTTATGATTTACAATAGATATTAAATCAAATAAAAAAGCAATGGAACGTACAAGCCATACAGAAAAAAAAACAAGCAACCCAATGTACATCAACAAAATTTCTATAAGCCCCCTAACGTATTCAAACAAATACGCATATACATAAATAAAAGAATTTCAATAAATTCTAGTAGCCTAAATTATTCAATGATAATGAAAAAAATACACGAATCAACCCTGAGAAACAGCGGACATTCGAACAAACTTGAATGCAAAAATGAAAATAATCCAAACAAATAAAAAAAATATAATTTGGTTTACCCCCACTACAACAATACAATAAAAACAAAAAAATAGACAATGGTATTCAAAATAATTAACAAACACTTCCCTTAAAATAGCAAATTATTAAAAATCACAACAAATATACAAACAAAATTAGTTACAGCCGCATGAAAAATATGGAGAAAATAAAAAAAGCACAACAAAATCAATAACAATTACAACAACAATAACAATAACATAATAACAGAGCAAAAATAACACCATTAAATGAAACTGCAAAAACAAAGAAAATTCCCGACTAATAAATAAACAATAAATACTTAACTAATGAAATAATATACAAAGTCACCCAAAATAATAACATTAAAACAGCTGAAAAAATAATCTAAATAGGGGCCGCAGAAAAAAGCTTTTAAAGAAAGATATTATAACCACAAAATGTCATTCAAAGAAACAAAAATAACAAACAATACAACCTATCAAAATACATATGGAGCTAAAAAAAGACAATATCCCCACGAAAATCAAATGGGAAATGATAAAAAAAAGCAGCCCATATAGTATTAATAGTAAAAACTGTAAATGATGCTTAGAAGAAGAATTAGCAGTCATTAGAATTAGAAACAGAAATAAACTTAAACAAGGAATCTGAAATAATGACCAAATGTAGGCATATAGATATTTACTTTGCCATTTAAGCACTAAAATAAAGAAATAAATATAAACAAAATAAATATAAGCTTTAAAAATATAATACACACTTTAAATACATAAAAATAAAAGAAACAAATTTAATATAAACTTAATTTGTTTAAAGTACTCATCTATGGGTGTGTGTTCATGTCCCTGTTGATATGTACATAAACAACCACACAAACAAACACCGAAAATGAACGCACCTAACCCACCATGATTAATACCTCAATATATAAAACCAAGGCCAAGATAAATAAACTACTAGTCATTAAATGAAAATAAAAGAAATCATCAAGTAAACGATAAAGGATAACATACTATATAAGCATACATTTTATTTCTATACCCTACTTAACAATCACATATACATGCGTGGGGGCAGCGTGCGTGCAGCGGACGTGCGATTCGTGCGTATGGACTATATAGTATGGACTATATATATATATATATATATATATATATATATATATATATATAATGAATACAGATACAGAATCCTTAAAAATCCATCTGGTTAGAATTTATTTCGTTGACCTAACATCGATCTCTTCAGACCAGCCTTTTGTTAATAAAATTATTAACAAAACGTTTGTCTGAAGAGTTCGATGTAAAAGTCCAC